ACTTTGGCAGGAATGAACGCAATTATAACGCCTGCTTCAAACCATTTTGAAGGATCAGGTAGTACCAAGAATGTGTAAATTCTGAAAGGCCTGTCACTATATTTAAAGCTTCAGTGCTGTTGTTGATAGAAATAACTCCCACTGCTAAGAATAAGGAATGAGTTCAGATAAAGTAGAGTTCTTTTTTACATTATCACAAGGGAAGGCAGAACAGCTTTTAAAAATGAAAACAACAAAAGTTATGAGTTTTAAAAGCTGCTCAGAATTTTATCCATGACATAAGTTGAAAAAGTCATATACCATTGTATATTATTACTAGAAAGAAAAGTGTGTGACATTCTGTTAAAGTTATTCTTTCCAACCATGTTCATGTTGGTTGAGAATTATGTGAGCTAAAATCCAATGGGAGCCTCCAATGAGGAAAAAGCTGTTCTAAGGGAACTAATCACTCATAGTAAAACTAGAATATTTTCGGTATAATTATATTAGGGATCCATGAGCACCCATAGCGACATTGTTAATTAGTTAGAAATGGTAAACAAGTGAATTATTCTGAGAACTGGGAAAATGTCATTTTTAGAAACCTATATTCTAGTAAAGAATATAATTGTTATCCATTCTTTATTTTTTTATATATACATAACTCAACATGGTGAACATACCATAACTCTATGAGATAGGTTGGGCTGAAAGAAAGTTACTGGCCCAAAGTCACCCAGCTGCCTTCCTACCTAAGGCTGAACTAGAACTCACAGTCTCCCAGTTTCTAACCTGGTGCCTTAACCATCCAACCAAACTTGTGAGTCTTATCAAATTTTATCAAAATTATTTGTCATAATATATGGGCAAATGGAAAGAAGGCACCTCTAAAATGGTTACAAAAGCATAACTTGTACACTTTCAGTTTTAGACCCCTTCATTCCAACAATTCTCCCAAATAAATAGCATAAGAAATCAGTGGTTCAGATTGCTTTGTGCCATTCCTATCTGAGATGCAAGATGATAGAACAGCTAAGATATGGAAACAGGACTGGAGAAATCTATATTTAAATTGCCATAGAAATTCACTGAGAGACTTTAGGTCAATTATTCTTTTTTAACCCTACCTTCATTGTTGGATTTCAGAATGGGTATAAAATGTAGGCATATTCCCCTTATAACAGCGGTTCTCAACCTATGGGTCGCGACCCCATTTGGGGTCGATCGACCATTTTTGGGGGGTCGCCAAAGAAGGCGATCCGCCATTTTCTCCCCTCAGGGGGCACCGCCGCGCATACGCGCCACGCATGGGGGCGCCACCACACATGCGCGCCATGCATGGGGGCGCGCCACACATGCGCGCCATGCATGGGGCGGCGCCACGCATGCACAGAACGTTTGTGTGATGGGGGGCGCCGTCACACAAACGTTGAGAACCACTGGTTTATAAACTGCCCTGAGCTCTTGGAGAATGCATGCAGGAGTTTTCAGGATCCAGAATATGGCAATAATCTGTCCACATTGTCCTTGAACCAAACTGAATACCAGTATAGGTGTGATATTGGCTGTGTACAATAAAAGGTGAAAGGTGTTACCTGGATAATGCTTTGGATACAAGTTTAGTGCTAATTAATGTCACTGGAGTATGGAAGGAAAAGTACAGTATAAATAATATTGGCCTTCACTGCCAATTCTTTTTATAAACTTAGGGCAGCAGATATACAGTATCTTAACTGCTGCTGTGTTTCTTCACAGACAAAAGCTGATGGACAATACTATCTCCTTTAAGCAATATATTATTTTTTATTCATTCATATAAGCTTCTATGTAAACTGGCTTTTATCCTTTTTATGTGTTACACTGATATATCGCTGGGCCATTTGAAATGTGCATTCTGAAAAAAAATGGCTCTGAAGTCATGTTCTCCTTTGATTGACAATTTCTTTTTTTGTTGTTGTTGTTATAACTTTTATTGTTTTATCAATTTTTAAAATACAAAGAAAAATAAAAATAGGAAATTAAGAAAAGAAAAAAGAAAGGGGGAAAGAAAATATGATATACGAGGAAAGAAAGAAAACACGTTGACTTCTGACACTTTTTAAGTATAAGATAACAACATTAAACCTCATTTTTTTACTTTTACACATTAGTATGTAACTAGCCATTTCTATAACAACAAATCTATCTAATTGGCAAAACCAAAGTCAAAGTTTCATATACTTTTTTCATCACAAGCACAAAATCCAGAAGTGCTTGTGAAATAAAAAATGTAAATATATTCTCCTCTTTGAATAGAACAGCCAATTAAACCATTACTGCTTTATCTTCCTGGCTGTTGAAATAATACGTATTTCTGTTTGCACTTAATAATCTTTTATCACCATTTATACTAGCAAAATTCCCTGTTTTCTTTCAGATTGGCAATTCCTTGATAAGGATGACCATTAAAATCTGTTGAAATTTTATTAAGGGATAATTTTCTATCTTGGCAGAAAAATTGATACCACCTTGGTCATAAGGCTCCAAATTTGACCTCTTTAAAATTAAGAGGAGGCAAAGTATCCAAAGGGAAATTGTCCTGTGGTTGGATATATTTTGTTAATAAAGATAATCCACCCAAAATCAATAGTCTTTGCAAACAAATGCCAAGCACGTGCATGAAGATATTTTCCTGAATTCTGTGAGAGCTATTGTCTATTAAGGATGGTGACCTTGATAATTGACATTAATAGCACTCAGCAACTAGCTTTTCTACTGTTAAGTGGAGTATAATAGTGCATTCCGTATTCAACTTTTGTCATTAAAGCTACAATACTACATGCACTTCACTCAGATCTATGCAATAGAACTTATTTCCATATAAAAACATTTAGGCTTGCATTGCCAGCTACACATTTTAATTTACCATATTTTCAGCGCAACTTATTTCTTTTAACATTATTCTGAAGTCCCACTGTGTCCACTGGAGCTGAGTTAAATCTGTGTAGGATTCCAGCCTTAATTGCTTTATTTCGTGAATACATTAATTTGGACAGAGAACAATTGTTTTCACAAAAAAGTGTCAGGTAGTGGGAGTAAGATAAATACTACTAATATTGTTGTTTAAGAGAGAAACATATTTTTTTTGGGGGGGAAAGAGTAGCACATTGATCTGAACTTATTTAAAGTAAATGTTAACAGCAAACAGAGTTGTCACCAAATTCCTGAAAATCTTTATGTCTAACCCTAAATTGCAACCCATTAGCTGTCACTGAGATTGAAAAAGTGATGAGGTTACATGGGTGGAAAAGAATGAGTAGCTATTAAACAAGCAATCCCTCATTACCCTGCAAAGCTGAAGTGATAAATATTTATGAGGTAGCTTCTGTCCAAAAGCCTGAAGATAAGAGGAGTGTTTTATTTGTGATGGTCAAAAAAAAAAGGCAGAGCTGAGTAATTTAGAGTAAGTTACAGAGTGAAAAACTTACCCTCTTGAATTGGTGTGCAAGACAAATAAGAAAAGTGGGGGGATTGCCTCACAACGTAAGCTGTCACACCCCTCCTCCTCTGCCCCAGGGATCTCATGGAGAATTTGGCACCCCTCCATCCACAAAGAAAATGCTAACTCTGCTTCCCCACCAGACCTGCCTCAACATTCATCCATGCCAGGGAAGATATTTCCATTCACAGCTCCATTAATATAGAGAACTACCTCAAGCTCATTATTCAGTATTGATTTAAGACTGCTTTCTTATCTTCGACAGATGACTCACTAGATGAAGTGTGGGAGGTGAAGCTTTTCCCAGGGTGCAGATACTCTGCTAGAAAATATGTTGGGATACCTTAATAAAAAGTGACTTGAATAGAAATGGCTACTATGTACTTCCCTGACTTTCTTTAAAAGTATAGTCTTAGTAAGGCCAAGCTCACATATGCCAAAGATTTGGAGTTTGAAATAATAATATAAGAGAGAAGGATAAAGCAGTAGATAGAGAAGTTAAGTTCTTCCCTTGCATGCTCTTTTTAGGCCTACTTTTCTCTCACCCATCTAGCATGGTTAACTAGATATGAACACCAAGTCAAGCTCTTCCCTTCCGCTGCCTACAGCTGCTCTTCTCCAAATTACATCATTAGAGACCTAGTTCCCTCATCCAGAGATGCCATCGAGAATCTGATTTAACTCCAGGCTGGGGAAAAAACAGTAATATTAGCAGGGATAAAGAGCACATGAATTCCAAATACATGGTAGTTCTTGGACCAAGGTTTATGAGAGCCTTGATTTTTATGACATCTTTATTTTCATAGCAATTTTAAAAGATTAGGGCAAAATGGACAGAATGGCGAGCTGAAATAGTTTCTGTGATTCCTCTTCTTTTTCTGATCAACATTTGGATATTGTTGCTTCCATCTTTTCAAGTGTTATTTATGGCTGCATGAATTGTAGGAGCAGATATTCTGGTTGGAAAACTTGGTGTGAGCAACTTGAAATGTGGACGTGTGCACTAGTGACTTTCTGCCCTGCCCACTTGGCCATCTCAAAGGTGGCACAGCCACAAGGGAAACTAATAGATGAAAATCAGCTATGATTAATGTTTATAACCCACTTCTACTCTTTAAATATTTGGAAGCAAAAACCACAGTAAATGCAGATGCAGCCAGTCTAAAGAAGGTATTAAACATCCATGCCTCTCCATTCATCTGAAGCATGTCAATATTAAACAGCAAAGTTATTTTAAATGGTATCATATAAGGCAAAGGCACCATTAGTATTTGGGAATGTATTTTAAGGAGGAAAAAAAATCAAACCCTAATTCCAGATTGGATGGATACGGAAACCTATTGGGCCATATGCTGAGAATTGTTAAACATCAATGATCCAAATGTTTCTTTTGTCTTTAAGTGTGCGTTCTAATTTTGGGTCTGAATGTTTACAGTGAAGAGATCAAACCTAATAAGACCTGATAGTTATCAAAATGTGTTTATAAGTATATACAATTTGTATTGCTTGACATGTCCCTGGAGAGCTCTTGCTTGTTTTGCAGCAATGGTACACCAGCTCCATGAACATCGTTTGCACTTGGCTAACAGACCGCATGGACCTTCAGCTTCACATCTATCAACTAAAAACCCTTATTAGAATAGTAAAGGTAAGCTTGCCTAATGTAGTTGTGTTACTTGGAAATAGATTCTGCTCTCAGTCAGAAAGGAAGTGCCAATTAAATCAAAGCATGAGGCCCATTTGTAGATATGGACCTTACTCTCCATCTGCCATATTGAACAAAGTCAAAACGATATTGACAAAATATTCATCCAAGAGAGTGAAGATGGAGGAAACATAGCAGGCAATTGTAGCAATTTGTCCATGAATCAGCGTCATTTATTCTTCATGTTCTGTACAACTCTGAAATCAGTCACACTGGGATATTTCTAATACTAGGTTTGGGACCTTGGAGGTCTTCTAGTCCAACCCCCTGCCCAAGGCAGGAGTCCTGATTACCCAGAAGGGTAATATCTCTCACACTAACATTATTCTAGTTCAGTGATGGCAAACCTTTTGAGCTTGGCAGGTCAAAAATTTGTAAAAAGACTAACTTGACTCTGCTGGCATCTCTCTCTCTCACACACACACACACAGAGAGACAGACAGACAGACAGACAGACAGACAGACAGACAGACAGACAAGAAACAATTCTCTATCTCCCCTCTCCTCCCACTTAGACCATTCTGAACAGTGGCATTTGGCAACAGTGTTGAGGCTCACGTGAAGTAGAGGTCAAGGCCCTGACTCAGTCCTAGCAGCCCCACTGCCACTTAAAAAGACTGGCTGTTGCCATTCCCCAAAGCACATGATCCTTAGGAAATGCTGGGATCGCCCCAGGATCTTCCATTCATTGCTAACATTCAAGTGTTGACAGGGCCCTGCAGCCTACCGAACACTGCTCTGGGTCACACAAGGCCTTCCTTCTTGAAATGGCTTCAAAATATGCTCTTTTGTAGCCTCTGCAGCCTCCAAAACCTGCATGAAAGCATGCCTCCTTCTCATATGACTTTTGCCACTTCAGAGACAAGAGCATACCTCATTCTTGCACAGTCTCCAAAAACTTCAGTGGGAACAAGGCGTGCTTTCAAGAATAGTTCTTGGGTGTTGGTGAACACTGGCATAAATGCTGCCATGTCACCCAAAACATCATGATGGGTCAGCTTTGGCACAAGTGTCATAGGTTCACCATCACTGCTCTAGTTCCTTCCATTTCATCAAATGAAACAGGAGCCAACCTAGACAAAGGCAGGGAACCATATGAGGATAAACGATTACCGTGAGTCTCTGCGCAATCTTCTCTAGCAGAGCTAGAAGGATCTCTTAATCTGCCCCCTTCTATATGTAGAAAGGGAGCAAAAGATACTACCCAAAATTGTTGGGTAACAAACTTCACTACTGATTTTCACTTTCAGGGACTTGAAAGATCCTTAAAAACACATGCCGTATCAGAACAGCACACATAATTAAAACAATTTCTCTTACAATAGATGCTGACAACATTTAAAAAGGGGTTATACACAAAACAAGAAGATCTCCTTAATATAACTCTGTGTGTGTGTGTGTGTGTGTGTGTGTGTGTGTACGAGTGCGTGTATGTGTTGGATGGATGGATGGATGATAATTATTTCAGTGTGAAATCTCAGTGGCTTACGTAAAATAATAAGATCTCAGGAGGAGGTAAATACATATTTGATCATTTTTGGTTCCATGTGATATATTTTGCAGAAGAGGAAAATTATATACTTTAGAAAAGAAGTCATGAATAAATTACTAACATGGTTTTTAATTTTCAAAATAAAAGCAATAGGTATTAGCACGTTATTATTATGTGTTAGCTTGGGAACACCGAAAAACACGGGAAGTGTCTTTTGTACTATTAGACTACAGAAAAGCCTCTTTTTAAAAAAAAAAATAACAGTTTCTCTAGACATAAGAGACATGCAAAACACAATGTTAAATAGTACGTGAATCTAACTAATACTTGTATTTTTAGGATGTCATTGAATTCTGTGAAACCAACAAAACCAAAAAACTTCACAAACTTAGACAAAATTTTGATAAACAAATGGCTCTTGACACCTAAGACAGTTCACAGCCCCATTTATTCTCATAATACTCAAAGAAGTTTTATTTAAATGGAAAGATGGGGCCATTGCTCCCCCCCCCAACAACTCGGAGGCAGCCACAATTTTATCAGAGTGATGAAATATGCATCACAATATCATGAAGCAAATTTTGTTCCTTACCTACTTGATACTACGACACAAGTGTGAAAGGGAGACAGTTGTGTCGTGATTTCATAGCACACCTTCCTCTGCCCTTTGCCCTGCCCTGCAGCTATCCCTGCCATGTCTATGACATTTTTATACAAACGTTTGCTACTCTAGACCTCCCTTTGTTTGGTTCACTTCCAGTTTTCATGTGTGACATGGGAACAGCCTTCCCCGTTCCCATATGCATTTCCACAATTTTTACTCCATAATTATTATTCTGAAATATTCTGTGCTGTGTCATAAAATACAATCTTCTAAAAAGCCTTGTTCAGTCCTCCAGTTGCTTTTCCCCCATTATGAAAACTGTTTTTAGAAAATCCTAGGCAATAAGAAGTCAGAATAATTGCTATAATGCTGGTTTAAGATACTGTCATAGGTCCCATTCTTTCAGAAGGAAGACTGTATTCTGTAGAACAGAGGTCCCCAACCTTTGAGGCACCCGACCGGTTCCGTGGAGAAAGATTTTTCCATGGACTGGAAGGTGTATGGTTTTGTGTGCTGCCTGCCTCCCACAAAGCTGCCTCCCACAGCTTTGCTTGTTTTTGTTGGCATGCTGTGGCCCAGTACTGGTCCCAGGACCAGGGGCTGGGGACCCCTACTGTAGAATACAAACTCTAGATAACTGTTAAAATCAAAGATGCATGAAAAGGAAAGGCTCAACATCCTTCTTTAAGATTTACCTCATGGAAGGAAGTCAGACACATTGAACAACAGCACCCATATGACCTCCTATTTCAGGAGTGCCAAACTGCTGGCCCACAGGCTGGATGCATCATAGCAAAACTGATGCATCATAGCGAAACCTCACCCACCCCTTTGCCGGCAATGGCAAAAAGTTGTGATACGTCACGACACATCAAGTGACGTTGCGAGTTTGACACCTCTGTCCTATTTCATCAATCACAATGGCTTCCAACCTGATCCAGTTAAGAGCATGCATGCATGAGAACAGGCGTCTGCTAGTCCAGCTTTATCAGTCCAAATAATTCTTCTCAAAATGGGTACAGATACAATCAATCTGTGATCTCTTGTAGCAAATGAAGCTTTGTGCATATAGCTTTAATCAGATTATCAGCCAAAGCCTAATTTTCATTTCATTTTGCAAGAGAAGACTATCAATTGGCTTCTCTTTGTCACATACCTTGTTCTAGCATATCTACAGATTTACCATTAGCTGTTCTCTCAATAGCGATACAAATGTTTAAAATATAAATGCGTAAAAAGAAAAAATAGAACATGCAGAAAAGGAAAAAATTGAAAGAAAAATAGTAAAGAAAGAAAAATAAGAATATAATAAAGAAAAAGAATATATATATATATATATATATATATATATATATATATATATATATATATATATAGGTCTTTGGTTGTTCGGGTTTTCTCCCGCGTAAAATTTGAAGTGTCTTGGCAACGTTTCGACGAAGTCACATTCGTCATCTTCAGGCTGGTGTTTTTAGCTTCTTGCTTTGAGCAGCAATGTGTGGTTTTAGCTGTTTCTTCCTTTTAACTGCCAGTGGGGGTATGAACTGATTGGATGGGAGCTTGGCTGTGTTCTGATTGGGTGGAGGTGTGTTCTGAATGGTTAGGGGCTTGGCTGTGCTCTGATTGGCTGGGGGAGTGTTCTGTTTGGTTGTGCTCAGGTTAGTCTGAGTTGCAGAGGGGTTTAAGATTTTGGGGTTAGGGAGTCGTTTGTCAATAAGGGCAGGTTTCCAAATGGCTGGTAGGCGGGAGGTATCATCTCGCTTGTTCATGCTGTGTGGGCGTTTTTCTATCTCGATGGCTTCTCTGATTATTCTGTTATTAAAATGTTCACTTTTGGCAATGGTTCTGGTATTTTTAAAGTCAATTTCGTGTCCTGTGGCTTTAAGGTGTTGGACCAGGGAAGATGTTGGTTCCTCTTTTTTGACTGAGTTCTTATGTTCTTCAATGCGTGCACTTATTCTTCTGTTGGTTTGTCCGATGTATGTGGTGGGACAAGTGGTGCATGGGATTTCGTATACTCCTTGATTTTCTAATTCAATTTTATCTTTGGGGTTTCTAAGGATGGTGGATATTTTTCTGTTTGTGCAGAATGCTGTTTTGATGTTGTGTTTATGGAGGATCTTACTGATTCTGTCTGTGGTGCCTTTTATGTATGGGAGGAGGGCTTTGCCGTTTTCTTGTTCTTTGTCTTGGATTTTGGTGGGGGTTTCTTTTTGGATTAGGTTTGTAATCTTATTTCTATGGAATCCATTGGATGTTAGTACATTGGTGAGAGTGTGTAGTTCGGGTTTTAGGTGTTGTTCGTCAGCTAAGCGTTTTGTTCTGGAGATGAGTGTCTTGGCTACAGAGTTGATCTGTGCTGGGTGGTGGTGTGAGAGAGCGTGCAGATAGCGGTTTGTGTGTGTTTTCTTCTGGTAGATGGTGTGTCCTAGGGAGCCATTGGATTTCTTGTAGACTAAGACATCCAGGAAGGGAAGTTGGTTGTTAGCTTCTGTTTCCATGGTGAACTGTATTTTGGGGTGTAGGCTGTTGAGGTGTGTGAGGAAGTTGTCCAGTTTTTCTTTCCCATGTGGCCAGATTATGAAGGTGTCGTCTACATATCTGAGCCAGAGTTTGGGTTTGTGATCCGATTTTTCTAGAGCTTGGGTTTCAAAGTGTTCCATGTAGAGGTTGGCAGATCCCTTAGAAACCCCAAAGATAAAATTGAATTAGAAAATCAAGGAGTATACAAATCCCATCACCACTTGTCCCACCTCTGCCAACCTCTACATGGAACACTTTGAAACCCAAGCTCTAGAAAAATCGGATCACAAACCCAAACTCTGGCTCAGATATGTAGACGACACCTTCATAATCTGGCCACATGGGAAAGAAAAACTGGACAACTTCCTCACACACCTCAACAGCCTACACCCCAAAATACAGTTCACCGTGGAAACAGAAGCTAACAACCAACTTCCCTTCCTGGATGTCTTAGTCTACAAGAAATCCAATGGCTCCCTAGGACACACCATCTACCAGAAGAAAACACACACAAACCGCTATCTGCACGCTCTCTCACACCACCACCCAGCACAGATCAACTCTGTAGCCAAGACACTCATCTCCAGAACAAAACGCTTAGCTGACGAACAACACCTAAAACCGAACTACACACTCTCACCAATGTACTAACATCCAATGGATTCCAAAGAAATAAGATTACAAACCTAATCCAAAAAGAAACCCCCACTAAAATCCAAGACAAAGAACAAGAAAACGGCAAAGCCCTCCTCCCATACATAAAAGGCACCACAGACAGAATCAGTAAGATCCTCCATAAACACAACATCAAAACAGCATTCTGCACAAACAGAAAAATATCCACCATCCTTAGAAACCCCAAAGATAAAATTGAATTAGAAAATCAAGGAGTATACGAAATCCCATGCACCACTTGTCCCACCACATACATCGGACAAACCAACAGAAGAATAAGTGCACGCATTGAAGAACATAAGAACTCAGTCAAAAAAGAGGAACCAACATCTTCCCTGGTCCAACACCTTAAAGCCACAGGACATGAAATTGACTTTAAAAATACCAGAACCATTGCCAAAAGTGAACATTTTAATAACAGAATAATCAGAGAAGCCATCGAGATAGAAAAACGCCCACACAGCATGAACAAGCGAGATGATACCTCCCGCCTACCAGCCATTTGGAAACCTGCCCTTATTGACAAACGACTCCCTAACCCCAAAATCTTAAACCCCTCTGCAACTCAGATTAACCTGAGCACAACCAAACAGAACACTCCCCCAGCCAATCAGAGCACAGCCAAGCCCCTAACCATTCAGAACACACCTCCACCCAATCAGAACACAGCCAAGCTCCCACCCAATCAGTTCATACCCCCACTGGCAGTTAAAAGGAAGAAACAGCTAAGACCACACATTGCTGCTCAAGCAAGAAGCTAAAAACACCAGCCTGAAGATGACGAATGTGACTTCGTCGAAACGTTGCCAAGACACTTCCAATTTTACGCGGGAGAAAACCCGAACAACCAAAGACCTATATACAAATACCCGCGAAAACCTCAGAAAACAAATATATATATATATATATATATATATATATATATATATATATATATATAATGACTTCCATCTTCGTCACAAGTATCAACCGTTTTAGTAACTTATCACCTTCTCTTAAAATATAACAAATGACCTCTTCTTCCCATATCCCATTTCTTATCTATAAACAAATCCCTAAAGCCTTGTTGCTTTAGTCCTGATCAACCAAAGTAGACATATCTATTTTAAATTTGATCAAATAAACCAACTTTATATTCCTTCTTTATACTTTTAACAATGTTGATCTTTAGCCCCTTCAAATAATTTCCTGGAACTTGATTTCTTTTCATTTTTTCTTTGTGCCATTTCACAAAACTCTACAAAGGTTTAACAAGCCCATTATCAGTATCTCAATAGCACATCATTGAACAATTGCACATCATTGAACAATTGTTTGGTTCCTTAATTTAATATTAAGGATGTAATATTAAAAGTAATATATTGTACAGTATACATCAGTTTAAAATTAAGAAACCAAACCTCTTTCTCTTGGTCTCAATGTGTATTCATAATTAGACATCCAGCACTATCAAATCATTTTACTTCAACTTCTCTATTTCTGCAGAAATAAGTTGAGAAATACTGGGGAATAAATACTATAGGATAGTATCTATTCCTATTAAAAGCAAAAATGCTTGAAACATATTTGGAAGCACGAAATCTAATTCCTGCTATTTCTGGGATGGTTTGGTTTGGATGTTTGGTCATGTTTTTCACAATGCCAACTTCTTCCTCCTAGAAAACATACAGAGATTTCCGATTGCAAGGAGTTCTGGATTCTACCTTGAATAGTAAAACCTATGACACAGTTCGAAACCGGCTGACTGTAGAAGAAGCCACAGCTTCAGTAAGCGAAGGTGGAGGACTCCAAGGGATCACCATGAAAGACAGCGATGAAGAAGATGAAGAGGATGATTAGATCTCCAAATTTAGAGTCCCCCAACCTGGATGTAGCCTGGAAACCAGTGCATGTAATCTAGTCGGTTATTCAATTAGCCACATTAGGAAATTTTCTGTCTGCTCTAAACGCCCATGAAAAGTCTACCAATACAACTCCCATTTTAGCTGTGTGGTTCTTAAGACTTAGCATCTCTGTTTCGATTCATTGAGTTTCCTGATTTCATATCTCTATGTTTATAAGCAATATGGAGCACCATTGTTTAAAACAGTTAATGGAAAATAAATCTGCATAGAAAACATACTAGGTGTGTCCCTATGATAATTAAAGTATAAATGACGTTTCATTAATGTACGTATATACATTGATGGTAAATTGTTGTGAAGACAATTGAAACAAGTACTTTCATATGTTTGTTTCTCTTCTATGGATGCCAACTGCTTCGAAACAGAGTAAGGCTACTACAAGACACCTATTTTGTACATTTGGGGGAGGAGGAATATAAACCAGAAGCTGGGATGATTCCTGTTTATTGTACCCAAGCACTTTTCTTCCAAAGTATACAGCTAACTTTGTAGAAGTGACTGACCACTGGAATCTTAGTCATCCATCTGCAGAATGGGTTGACCTTGGGCTGACCTTGATCACGTTGTCCTCCTTATGATTCTGAGCAGTTGCTTTATGTCAGCGTCTTGCCCCTCTCAATGTTACATTTTGTTCAGAGTTCCAATAACTGTGTTTGTAAAAAGGACTTTAATTCCAACCTTAGACTATACAGATGTGTTTATAATAATGAGGATGCTATAATAACAATAATGATAACGAACGACCATTTCTTTTCGTAGACTGTATCCATCATTTAAATCTCCTTTTGTTTTCATAATGGTTTTTATATCTTGTCATGTACATTGTATTTGGATCAGTAACGTGCATGTCCTTGCGTTTCCCCCCCCAAATCCTTTCCAGGAGCTTTTATTTTTTGTGTAATATAGTGGATTCATCTTGCTTTTTTGCCTTATACAAGCCGACAGTTGTAAAAGTGTGGGGACTGTGGCTTTTCAATAAATAACTGTTCAGATGTCCTGCTAATAAAACACTGGAGTCTTTTTATGTCTGCCTTAGGAAGAAGAAGAAGAAAAAAAAACATAAACAAACAAACAAAAAGATTAGTCAATTTAACAAGAATCCATGTAAGAGCTCTATCTTCTAGAATAAAGGAATTTTCTTTTCACCTGGGTGTTTTTTTTGACAAAAAAAAAAATTAGTTTGTGAATTTAGGGGCTCTTTTTCCAATTTGCTGTCTGAAGCAGATGAAAACATCAAGGCCCACCACCTTCCAAAGAAGCACCGCTGAACTCAGGAAGCCTGGCTGGGGAGGATGTTCTCAGACAGATGGTTCTCCAGTGCTACCAGTCAGAAGGCCCTCTTCAACCTTTCTTAATGGATTCTCTGTGCTCTCTCTATATATCAGTGGTTCTCAACCTGTGGGTCGGGATCCCATTTGGGGTCGAACGACCATTTCACGAGGGTCACCAAACAACGCAGTCTGCCATTTTTTTTCCCCTTTTCCTTAGCTGTGCTACTCCCTTTTATTCTATTGGCTTTTGAAAGCCAATAGAATAGACTCTCTTGAATAGAGTCTAATTCTATTGGCTTTCAAAAGCCAATAGGAATTGTCCAGGCTGTCTCTGCCCTGCTGAGCTGACCAAAAGTCCCATTCTGCAAACGGTGCTGCACCACTTGAGTAGTGCTCGACTTACGACCGGTTGGGGGTCGCGGCATTAAAAAGGTTGAGAACCACTGCTATATATATATATATATATATATATATATATATATATATATAATATATATATATATATATATGTGTGTGTGTTTTCAGTTCATACCCTCACTGGCAGTTAAAAGGAAGAAACAGCTAAAACCACACCTTGCTGCTCAAAGCAAGAAGCTAAAAACACCAGCCTGAAGATGACGAATGTGACTTCGTCGAAACGTTGCCAAGACACTTCCAATTTTACGCGGGAGAAAACCCGAACAACCAAAGACCTATATATATATATATATATATATAATTAGAAATAAAAACAAAAATGCGACCCTTGGGAGTATTCATATTGTCAAAATAATGATCACCAAGAGAATATCTATCAAAAATAGAATTTAATCCACCAAGCTTTCGTCAAATACATTTGACATCGTCAGGGTTAAAAGGCAAACGCCAGGGGAAGTCTTATATACAGTTGTTTAATGCCTGTTTCCGGCTCCTGGAGCGTGTCATCGGCCCCAGCTGATCGAGTTGAGTCCCAAGCACACGCCCCACATCAGCACCTATCCTCTTTCCGTTGCTAATTTGCATTCTGTCATACGTTACTCCGTTAGCTGTTTCAGGGTTGGTCAGGTTGGGGGTCAGGATCTTTTCTCCTCCCCTCCTCATAACTCCCCCATCATCCCACACACGGCTTCCCTTAGGGAGCGGGGGTGGGCAATTATTTAAATTGCTTCCAATATCCCTGCAAGCCCCAAGACCACTTTGATCTTGTTTATCTATCCCTCGGGGTCGTAACGCAGGCTCATAGTCACAGCCCATGCTATTCCTCCTCCCCTCCTCCTTCCCGTGAGTTCTCCTGAATGATCTACTGTTCGTTTCCACGCTCTCTCCCTTGCGCACACTCAAGATGTTTTCTGCCATTGTCCCATTGTCAGTGCCTTGTTGTTCCGTCCATTGTCGGTAAGCACCATTCCCACTCATCCCCAATTCTCCATTCTCACTCCGTACAGGGCTCTTCCCCTTTAATTGCAGTCACTGTTTCACTGCGCAGCTTTGTGTTGAGAATGTCAGAGGGGGGTGCCTTCCTCTGCTCGACTGGCTTTATGGGAGGCCGGATGGTTGCTATGGTAGTGGAGGATTCGATCCGTATGAGTGGGCTTCCGATAGACCTTATTTCTCCTTTCAAGGCAGTATATATGAGCAAGTCAAGGGCACACCGATGGGCTCCCCAATATCCAGCGTGGTGGCAGAAGCGGTTCTCCAACAATTAGAACATGAGGCCATGACCCGTCAACAGCCCAAGTTTTGGGCACGGTATGTTGACGACACCTTTGCTGTCGTCATCTAGCTGACTTTGGACGGAACAACAAGGCACTGACAATGGGACAATGGCAGAAAACATCTTGAGTGTGCGCAAGGGAGAGAGCGTGGAAACGAACAGTAGATCATTCAGGAGAACTCACGGGAAGGAGGAGGGGAGGAGGAATAGCATGGGCTGTGACTATGAGCCTGCGTTACAACCCCGAGGGATAGATAAACAAGATCAAAGTAGTCTTGGGGCTTGCAGGGATATTGGAAGCAATTTAAATAATTGCCCACCCCCGCTCCCTAAGGGAAGCCATGTATGGGATGGTGGGGGAGTTATGAGCAGGGGAGGAGAAAAGATCCTGACCCCCAACCTGACCAACCCTGAAACAGCTAACAGAGTAACGTATGACAGAATGCAAATTAGCAATGGAAAGAGGATAGGTGCTGATGTGGGGCGTGTGCTTGGGACTCAACTCGATCAGCTGGGGCCGATGACACGCTCCAGGAGTTTAATGGAAATTCAGACAGTGTTGTGTTTTAATTTACAGAGAATATTCATATATACGTTAATATTTCAGGGACACTTATAGGGCAATCTAAAACATAAAAGATGATGGTGAGGGTGATGAGATGATGATGACGATGAAGATGATAGTGGTGATATAACAAAAACAAAGCAATTCACTGCTCAGTCAAATGGCTAGTATGAAAAGCCATGAAATGTTTGTTCGTACTAGCCATTTGACTGAGCAGTCAACTGCTTTGTTTTTGTTATATCACCATCTTCATCGTCGTCATCATCACTATCATCATCATCATTATATGGCTGCCTACCTTGTAGAAGACAACTCTGGGCAGCTCACCACAATAGTAAAACCAAAAATAATGCAAACAAGAAAAACAGAAACGACAAGAAACCCATGACATTCAATGCAACACTCTAGTTCATGCACTTTCCTATGAAGCTCAGTTTCTGTGGACTTACTGGATATGCTCAAATGATTTTCTTGGCAACAAAATGGAAGTGGTTTGCCAGTGCCTTGTTGCACAGTGTTTTTCTTTTTTTACTTCCCAGTCCAACCTAAAGCCTGATAGCCTCCCATACAAGCACCAGTGACCTCTGTCCCTGCTTAGCTTTCTAAGACATCTTTGGTGGTGTCATTTTGCTGGGCAAGCATAAAGATGTACCCAAACCAAGCTCAGCACCCGATAGAAACATGGATACCTCATGTGATATATAAGCCATTGTCTCAATCTGGAAATAATCATCAAGATCCTCATCTTTTTGATCTTGCCTGTAGCCCTAGATATCCACAGTACTCTTCCATCCAAACAGTAGAAGCCAAGAACTGCCTGGGTATACATGGGGGGGCTGCAGAAATGGGTGGGATGGTGCCACAAGTGGGTGCTAGGCAGTGGTGGGATTCAGCCAGTTTGCACCACTTCGGCAGAAACAGTGGCTACCTTTTTGTTGCCCAGGCCCAGAATGGACTTCCGGAAGTGGCATCCACACAGAGAACCAGTTGTTCACATATTTGAATCCTACCATTAGTGCTAGGGAGGGTGGGTGAGTCAGGAGGGTGCAGCAGGAGGGTAGGCATGTGCTACAGATTGCGGTAGGGTAACAATAAAAGGCTCCTCAGGAGAAAAAGCAGTGGAAGTGACTGATAAGGTCAACCTACAACCTTCCCTACTGGTTTCTCCATTGATTTTGCTTGTGGGAAGCTAGCAAGGGAAGTTGCATCAACTATCAAAATGTCAACTTCGCAATCATGTCATTGAGGAGACACTGCAATAGCCAGAACTGATTGTAAGTCCATTTTTTTCAATGCTGTGGTAAATTTTAATTGATGTAAGCTAATGCACTTGTAATTGTCATGCAATCTAACCCATGCTTAACTAACTTGCTAATAAACATATCATCTAGTTCTCTTCTTTTTCATAATCAATTAATTACCTCTACAGGTATTGTGGTCTCACAATCTATTAGGGAAATTTTCCAATCCAAAAATTAGGTAAGGTTAATTTAGCAATTCCATACTGACTTCTAGTAATTATTGCATTGCTTCAAAATCATACCAATCAATTTTTTTTAATGATTTGCTCTAGAATCCTCCCAAGTACCAATGTCAGATTTACAGTCTTCAGTTTACTGGATCTTCTGGCTTCCCTTTTGAAGATAGAGACATTTCCTCTCTTCCCATCCTATGACACTTCATCTCCAGACTTCTCAGTTAATTCATAGGATTCAGTCAGACTTTAATGTCTTGAGATGCCATTGCTCTGGCCCTGGAGACCTAACCTCAAAGTCAATCCAGTATTTCAATTTTGTCCCTTTATCTTGGTCTACACAATTGCTTGGTGGAACACAACTCTCGATGGACGAGGCTAAACCAAAACAGAAATACTGTTTGCTGACTTTTCATTGTTACCTGTTGGCATTTGGGAACCATAATTGAACAGCTCACACACTGATTATTTTTGTCTTTTTTTGGGAAACATTTTAAAAAGCCCTTCTCATTTTTCCTAGTTTCCTTCACTAATCAGTGCTCATTCTTGCTTTAATTTTCCTAATAGCCTCATTATTGTTATAGCTTATGTTTACTTTACTGGCCTCATTGGGGTGAGCTCCCATTACTTGCCCAAGCTCCTGCCCACCTAGCAGTTCAAAAGTATGTAAATGTGAATAGATAAATAAGGTAACAGCATTCTGTGTGCTTCAATGTATAGTCATGCTGGCCATATGACCACCGAAGTATCTTCAAACAATGATGGCTCCTGGCTAAGAAACAGAGATCAGCAGTGTCACCTAGAACTGGACACAATTGAACGGGGGAATCTTTAATTTATTGCTTATGGGGGGGGGGGTTGCGCATCTTTGTTAAGCTTCTTTTGGAGCTACATTGTTCTGTATTTTTGTTCCCTTATTGGAACTGGAATCCTCACTGGGTTGGTTCCCCCAGTGCAGTGATGGCGAATCTATGGCACAGAGTCCTCTCTGTGGGCACATATGCCGACGCCCCACTCCTAGGCCTTCAGCTGGGTTTTATAAAACCTTTTCGCTTTAGGCCTCTGCCGCCGTGTGCAAAAAAAAAAGTTTCAGTCAATTTCAACTTCTCGCGGGAAAAAAAATCTTGCAAAGTTGGAATTGA